CCATTTGTAATTTAAGATATTTGACCGTTAATTGTGTTAGTAACTGTTACGTTTAGTGCTTGTTGCTTAGGTCGGAGCTCGGCGCGACCTCGTTCCGCGCTAATCTACACTTCTTAGTTAATCATGTAAATACTAGTTATTATAGTTTCCTCTATAGCATTCGATGATCCATCGTTGATTAGACGAGTGCTGTTTGGATGGGTCAGAACTTTTTGTTTTTTATCATTTTAATTTAGATAGTGTTTTATTTTATAGATTTTGACTATAAAACGCTAGTCTAGCGAGCTCCATCGACCATAAACTTTTATAGTAGAATTTCGCCGAATGCGAGTGTGTCGGTGATACCATAATGGATACTATTAGCATACTAATCTCTTCTAGTTAGTGCCCAATTGAGTGCACAATCCCACGCAGTGCATCCGAAGTGCGCATAGTAAGTCCTTTTCCCCTGCATGCCGTCGAGTTAGTTGTTCGACGACAATCATCCTAATTCCTTTATCCCAACGGTCGATAATTGATCGCCAAATGTTCGACATGGTCGAACTGGGGACAAAGGATTTATTACTATTATATTTAGCACTATTTGTAAATAGCATATTTTACATAATGTGCCCAAAGTCTGTGACAAGAACTACAGTTTGGCGAATGGAGTGTGCCGTCCGCTTCAAGAATAGGGCGAGTAATTTCTATTTTTGAACATAATACAATTTACATAAAACGTAATATTTTAAACATTTAGAATAGCGTAGGTAACAATGTGTGCAAAATTGTTGTAAAGATTTTTATTTAAGTAAGACCCTAAAATTGGTAGAATTTGAATAGCGATTTCAGAGTTAAAATGTAAATTAGTAAAATGTAGCAAAACTTTAATAGATATTAGAATAGACAGATAAATTTAGTAGGCCATGAAGAGAAAGATTAGGCTGGTTTTGTAGATTTTATATATTCAATGTCAATATTTCAATTAGAAGTCTTATCAAATAGACTAGTATAGTAATTGGAAATTATTTCGGGTGACATTGAATTTTATCTGTAATAGAAAAGCTTCAGAATTAGTACAAAATAAATATTGTTTTAAAAAATGTTAAACTATAGTAGGTCTTTAAGATGCTTTGTCTATAAGACAGTAGGAATTGTAAGCGTATAGAATAGACTTGGTGGTAAAGTTATATTATATGATTGGTGGTGCAAACTCTTTTTATAGTATTCGTATGTAATTTTATTTAATTTTAAGGTTTTAATTATAGAATAGTTTTTCTTATAATTGTTATTTATACATTTCGTGCCTTAGATGAAACGTAAATATACAATAGAATTATACTAAAACAATTATAATTATACAAATTGGCAATTAGTATAGATGAAACAAAAAGTTTATATAGATTAGTAAAAATGTGATAATTTCTACTTGTAGTTGTTAAATGTAGATGTAAGCGGACATAATCCGCGTTTATAATTTGACTACATGGGTAGTACTGTAATTTATTAAGTGAAGAGTTTTTAGTTATCAGTAGACATGTTTTAAATTTTTCTCTTTAAAAGTGTCTTTCGGATATTTGTATTTTCTCAGTTTTCGTTTTGCTTTTATTAATATCGCTTTACATGTTTCCTATTAATGTCTTTTTCTATGACTGAACCACGGCGAGCCATCACGTGATTAGCATAACAATGATTCGTAGAGTCGAAACTGAAAATCTCAAGAAGCACTAAAACACTCACACAAGAAAAAACAGCGCTCCTTCTTTGAATTACAAATGGGCGCGGCGTGTGCGTGTCGGCCAGCAAGAACTAGCATAGAAATTCGATTAATTTGCAATTGAGATAAGTGCCAGCTAAACGATCGAAAACCACCGAAAACGTATCATCTTCGCGGCGAGTTATTGATGGCGTCTATTAAATATACGTTTTGGGCGGCACGAGACGTGTGCGGCAACAGGGATACCCAGCAAACGTCCAAATAAAACATTTCAATCGTGCCAAGTGCGAAATGAAGTATTAGGATCTTGTAGGTGAGGGATGGGAACACCCACCTTTTATATACGGGACCATTTTCGTACTGAACTTCGTTAATGGGTGCTCGTAACCTATCTCGCAGTGTATATTTTTTACTCAAACTTCAACTTTGTACATCCATTTTTTTCATTTTTATGCCCCTAAATTTTTCATAATGCGAATTTGTGTCACGGCCTAATGCCATTACTTTATATTAAAATAAACTTTTAATTATGTCTTTCTGCAAAATTGAACAATAAATAATTAAATTGAAGCCAAAAGACGCGATATTATTAATTTTATATGAGATATTGCAAAAGTTTTTGTAGGTATACAATTTAAGTCTTGTAAGTACTTAATAAATATAATGTCTTTCTTCTGCCTATATTATTAAATAATTTTATCAATTAGTAATTACTTAAATTAATAAGTATATATTTTTTTATTTCGCTTTTTACTAAAAAAAAGAAAACGTAAAAGTGGTGTTCTTAGTGTAAAATTTTTGTGATTCATTGTCCAAAGTTGAACATCGCTACATGTTATAAAAAGTCTTACGTAATACAGTTGCCTCAAGGGCGGGTCTTACGTGAGTACGCCCCGTGAATATTTCGTCGGACCATCATCCTACTTCTGAAGAAGAATTATTAAGTTTCCCCGAACTTCGCAATTATGAAAGTTCGAATAGCTCTAGAAAGACGGTCTCTGAATTCATAGATGAATGTGTGCTCCCCACCCAGGTGAGACGCACTTGGGATACGAATTATTACAACTCATTTGTTTTTACATCAGTAAGTATTAGAACAGTCCAAAGACAGATGTGATGTATAAGTAAAAAAAATACATTTATTAATTTGAAACTTTCTCTCGTGTCTATCATAGATAACCAAACAAATCTAGACATGTGTCATTTCTAAACATAACGATATATTATTTGTCACATAAAATACGAAACTGAAAACCTTAATTTCACAATACATAAAATAAATTCATATATACATAATTTACAAGCACAATTTTCATTCCACTCAAGCGACTTCATTTTAACTGCTCGACTGCTCAAAGCTTCAAACTTAAACTATTACACGCACAAATTACATTTAGAGCATGTGTTAACATGACTATGCAGTTCACCCTTGGAAGTTCGCGTCCGACACAGATACGTATGACCATTGTAGATATTGTTGCTTGAGCTCACACCGTTCGCCTGTAAATAGTTTAAGTCATAAATTATTTGAGGTCAGGCACATGCCTCGCACAACTTAGTTGGACCTGGTTGTGATATACTATGAAACCAGCCGTACTATACCATCGAGAAGATACCAAACGTTTTTAACCGCTTTGTTTCATTTTTTGTACATTTACCTACAGCTATAGATACTTCTATACAATTTTACGACCTGTATAGACGAATAAACATGTACACATTCATAAAAGTTTGTTGTGTAATAAAAAAGTTAATGCGTGTGTTGAATATTGCTTTTGAAGTAGCTCGCTACTGTCAAATGAACCGCCGCTATTCGTATATTGATTAAACAATCTAAATCTAATACGTATACATTTTTATTTTTACTTTGATATGTTAACATTTTTAATTTAATTCTTTACATTCATTGGTATCATTAGAAACAAGAATCGTTGCTGGTTTTTAATAAGTAAAATATAACATATAAATAATGGCTGTTTCTAAATAAAACAAAAAAAAGTGATAAACTGAACCTCTAATTAGTCCAATATGAAATACGCAAATTGGTTCAACCTCGGTAATGAGAAAAGAATGAAGTTTGCCTGTTCGATACATTAACGACGGCAAGACGCGTCCGCGCCTCCACTAAAATTCTTATTTATTACTCCGTGACCCTCAAATAAATAACCTCTCACATCGGAAAGTAATGTTATTAAATTGTGTCAGCATTTTAGTAAGGTTCACGACAAGCGAAGCGAGCGGTGGTACGAGCGAGCGAGCGAGCGCGTCCGCGGACGCGGGATGGACTACCCGCTACGCCATCTATCATTCATCCTCCATTACTTATATTGTACTTTTTTTGCAAAGTCACTCGCAGGCCGGTAATCACCTGGTGCGACCTCGGACGTCCATTTTTCACACTAAATCATAACTCGCACATCTGACAAAAATAAAATTTGTCGTACAAGCCAATAGGGGTAATGGTGACACTATGAGCAAGCAGAAAAATTGGAATGTACACTAATATGGGGAGATGTAGAATTTCGTCTTAGTAAAAACGAGTTACTCTTCACAAAAAATATATGCGGTTGCCGAGCGAAGCTGAATACTGAAAAGACTTTCGGTTCTTGTTCTCTAAGAAAACGGTACATGATATTAAAAGCCTATCAAAATATCAGTGTTCGATTCGCATCGTTGTGTAGAATGCGTAAAAGGTAGTTTGGCACTGGTTATGTGCGGACCGGGGCCGCAAGCCATAAGCGGAGCGGTGCGGTGTGCGTCTTCGAGAATGGCGTCAAGAAGCCACGACGTGCGCCGTATGCTAATGCCCTTCCCTATTCAATAAGCAGACCGCCGCGTGCCAGCGAGAACTCACGTCGGATAATTTACTGGATATTTTGTAAAAGTTTTTTCGCCCTCTGTGATTTATACCCGCGAAACTTCGAGCTCTCTTTTTCATTTGAATGCACGTGACATACGTGTTATTTTTTTGTTCCGACATAATCTCAACTCGGGAGTCTAAGCTGTCCTTATTTCTCAGCACAGCATCTGTCTCTTACGGCTAAATTATTCATGCATTTACGCGCTTCAACTTTATCCGCGCTGTAGAACTTTAATATTGAGTTCGGATTACATCGATAGTCACTTTACCGTTCAGTATGCTAAATTGATGTAGAGAAGATGAGGTGATAAAGGAGAGATGGCCGACAGTTTACTATTTAAAAAAACGATGGTTCAGTCATAGATTTGTGTGCGTGCTATCACTAACAAGTGTGTGCGTCACACGTGTATGTGGAGCGACTGCGAACCGTGTGTATGTTTGCAGTTGACCTGACCAACGGCCAACTCACACCGAACAACAACACACCGCTGCTCGCGCAGGCGCTCTCAGGTGAGGACGCTCTTCATCCTCCACTCCTCACCAGATCCTCTAACATTCCTATCATACATTACTAGGAGAATTATGCCATACTCACTATCATTATCTCAACATAACATACGTCAAAAAATTACCTCAATGGGTTGTCGCTTTTCGTGTTTAATGTACTTTATTAATAAAAGGATAATCATCATAATCATTTATTTTATTAATGGAAGCAAATCAGATGATTTATAATTTACACAAAAGGAAATATGGGTGAAATTTAAATCATGAGCATACTTTTCAAGGAGTGTTAAGGATCAGAGAAACTGTACATTTTTAAATAAAAACATAAAAACAAATAAAAACATTCAGAGCATCTCCTACTAACTGAACACTACGTGTTAATACAAAAAGCTCAAAATTTTTTGTCACTTTTTAATTCCTATTTCTCTGAGAAAATATTAAACTTCAATAATAAACCATTGTCATAAAAGGATGCTAATGATTTCTATTTCAACCTGTATGTATTTCATACATAAAAATTATTTTAATAAAATAATTTACATGATAATAATATCCTAAAAATTAAAAGGCAATAAAAACTTATTCACACTTCTCTTATTGACATAAAGTCTAATACACACCACCGCCATATCCACAGTGATGAACAACTACCAAGCAGCAGCAGCCGGATTCGGACCACCAGCGTCGCCACACGCAGCCGGCGGCAGAGCCGGTTTCCCAGCAGCAAGCTCGCCGGGACCAGCGCTCGATGTGTACGGTTCTGCGGCCGATAGCGTCGGATACGTGCAAGCGGCCAGCCCCCAGCCCTCCGGATTCCCGGCGATCGCAGTCAGCCGTGCGCCCCTCAATTACACCCCAGTGAGTATACCTTTATATCGTTACTAGTTTTTATCCACGGCTTCATCCATATTGCCCACATATAATTATTTAAATAAAAGTAAACTATGTCCTTGTTCATCCCACACACAACATGTATACCAAATTTCGCATCGATTAGTTTACCTGCTAAGACACCGAAGTAACAAAAAACATTAGCATAGATAATGTAATACTATACTAGATAAGCTTTATTCCTATATTAGTAAGGATTTTGAGCTTAATTTCAAACTCATCTCTATTTTGCATTCTACTAGTTCATATAATAATTTTAAAATTTGGAAAGTAGTTTCAACCAAGAATAACGGGCAAGAAACTCGCCACTTCAAACCAAAGTAGAATTTTACTAGTTTAGAATTTTGTGTGAATTTAAAAAAAAAACTACTAAATTTTAGTTTGTACATATTTGCATATTAATTATAATACTAATCAGGCCATCAACTATTACTTTCGATCGTATGAGCATAGCTTTTTTGATTTAATGTCAGTGATGTAAAGACATATGAAAACTATTTTAATAGATAATTAAGAAATTAATGTATATATAATTTTAATTAAAGATTATGTTCCACAAAAAAACTGACTTCAATTAATGAAAATCCAGTTATTTTGATTTTATAACTGAAGCGATTTTGATAAAATCCCTATGGAACCAATCTATAAGTTTTCAAATATTATTTTAATGTAATTTTCAAATAGAAAAAATAATTTTCCAAATCGGTTTAGAAATGACGGAGTTATGGGATAAGAAACATAAAAAAATATAACCGATTTAAAAACCTTCTTTTTGAAGTCGGTTGGAAAGATCTACTACACCATAAGTACAAAATGATAGAAGTTAATAATATTATCTATATAATAAGTATAAAATAAATTTCATCGGTACCTTATTTTATTTCGTGATGAATGGGATAAAGTTATTAACTTTTGATTCTAACTTTTTTCATTTATTACGTCATGTTCCAAATGCCTATTTCAGTAGGACCCAAATGAAGGCAATTCTCAAAATTGTCCTTGTTCGAGAAGTTTCAACTGTCACGGAATTCAAATTAATGTTTGTTCTGTTTTGTTTTTCTTCGGTGTCTTTGATTCGAGATTTGAGATGCTGTAATATATTTTTTCTCTCTTATCATCTTTAACCCTAGAATTTAATAACGAGAATCGTTTATTTATAATGCTACCCAATTCACAACCAGATAGTTCGGCTTTAACGAATAAATTCTACGATCTAGCGAGCTGGTTAAAAATTTAATTAGCAGTTAGTCATAAAAGAATAAGGTATTAAGTGCAAAGGGAGTGGCGCTGGCTCGATAGCCGTCGCAAAATGGTGCGAGCACCGCAGACGCAATTAGCAGTCGACGACACTAAAATTTTAGACGAGACGGTCCAATCTCATTATGGAACCGATCTTCCTTGTCGCTCTTAAAGCGTAATCACCATAAGTTAGCAAGCGAGTGAAGCGTGAGAGATGCGATTATAAAGTGTTCCGAAATATGATCGCGGCGGCGGCGGCGGCGGGCAATCTACGCGGTGCAGTGCCGCGGGTAATGGCTTTTTAAAACTGCGACCGTGCTCCATAACTGCTTCCCTGAGACGCCATCAGTCTTCATTGCTTGTCGACGCCCTCGAGCACTGCCGCCTCTGCTGAGATCTTAACTCCTCACGTCCTCGTATCTCAAGAACATTTTTCAAACCACTTTCAAAGCTTCTTTAATTTTACAGTAGAGAAACCTCTTTTCGCTCCATATTAGGTTACACGTTTATACAATAAACAAGTTATTATCAATTTATATGTACCAAAATCTATAGTTGAGCGACATAACTCATCGGGTATTGTACCGCGAATCGAGTCATTGATGCGAAGTGGAGCTATACTAAACCACTTCTGTTTTGGGCGCGTCATATATCAGATGGGATATTAACTCAATCGTCCGTAATCGCTTGGGTAAAACAAATACGTCGCTAATGAGAGAATGAACGGTCCAGCCGTCGGCCGGCCCGGCGCATGTGGTTCCCGGGTGTAAAACGGTCTTATTAGGTAACGGGAATGCCCCACGGGCAATAACCGTAAATCAGGGAGAACAAGCGGTGTAATTACCGTAGCGTAGCGGTCGCGCGTTGCTCTAACTCATCCACTCACTGTTTTTATTTTGTCGACCACCAACACTGCTACCGCTCTATCGACTGCGAATACCAAACTTACTACCTTTAAATCTGCCCCCAGAGAGGTTAATGTTCCACTGAACGCTTTATACTCTCATTCAATTATGACTCGGTAACTGGATAAACTCATTCAATTTCCAATATAAATTACAACTTTCATTTCGTTTCATCGAGGTTCTAGATAAGTTAGCGCTTTTGATAAATAACTAAACAAATTATTTTTACCTCATTTCAGGGACCCTTGATTCCTGCGGCTTTTACCAACGGTTATCATTGAAAGTGTTATAGCACAAATATTTTACGTAAGTATAATTTCTTTCGATGTACTTGTATTCCACTCTAGCTTTAACGAAATACAAATGAAATATTTTTTTAAGTTTAAGCAATTCTACTAGACGACTGAAAGTTAGTTAATATCATTTGAGAACTATTAGAATGTCGCTGACTGAGTGACTATGTTGTATCAGGTGGCGAGCGGTGTGGCGGCGCGTAGCGTCCCCCGAGCGCAGCCCGGCCGCCGTAAGACACATCCTCCTCCAGCGCCCCGCCACCCGCCCGTGCTCGCGCGCAGCGCTCTCTAGCCAATGACGGTGCCTATCGCTGCCAGCGTACTAGCGCGCCGGCGCCGGCGCACAGCGTGACAGCACATCGGCGCGCGCACAGCGGCGACGGTCGCCTCATCCGTCCGGCCACCGCGCGGACTGATCCGTCGACCGCGGCGTTTCAATTTCGCACCGTACCCACCTCCCAAACTCCTTATCCTCCACCCCACTCCTCCACGCACTCACCCTCCCCACCGTCCCCTCTATTGTAAATAACAATAATCTACTTTTTGTCGTGTGAACGAGAGATAGTATATCGATTGAACAGGTATTTTTTCAAATTTTTCTCGCTTCGACTGTACCGTAGATGTGTTGTCAGAATAATTAAACAATTTAAACTACAAAAAAATACATTTCATATTATATAAAATGCATCTAGATGATTTTATTGCAGGGAGGTATGTCTTAAAATATTTTATTATTCATAGTTAAATTACAGTTTAAGGTGTAAAACTACATGTCCTCTACGTGCGCGGAAGTACAGTTACGATAGGTAAAGATATATTATACTGTGAGTAAGAATCGTAATAACGACCGTGCGCGTTTATATTATACATTTTTAATCGCAAGCTTATAAGATAATTTATTATCCAGAGTCGATATCCATTGTAGCGGTATCGAAACGTGATCACATACGCAATAAGCTTGGCCCTCCCCGTGTTCCACGTGTACAAAGTCGAGTTGGTCGGTAGCGGCATAGTTAGTTAGGCTGGTTGGGCCGTGTCGCGCGCGCGCGCCACTGGCGACACGCGACGGCTGGAGACCGGAGACAATAACGCGGTGCGCGACCATGCGCCCGCGCGCCTCCTCGCTCGTCCACCAACACATATTTTATTCTATCTATTTTTAATATTAATGTCAAATATTAACATAATTATTATACTACTATATATTATGCATATTTTACCTATGAATGTAATTATTTTCGCCTAATTCGAATTGTATAAAATCACCTCTTTGAACGGCTGTTCTGTTTCAGTAGCGAACAAATTTCTCGATTACTTCCGTATAAGACTACGTTAGTTACGCGTATACATACTTTCTAATATTATGTATTATGATATAAAATTTTATCCTAAGGATAATATGATCGTATTTATGATTCATAGGGACGTTTGGAAAGCTAAGTCGGAACATTTCACAATATCTCTCATCGCGTTAAGATAATAATTCGTTTCTATCTTGTACCTTTGAAAGTAGGTATTGTAATTATATAATAAAATAAATAAATAACAATTTTGTGCATTACGTAATAAATATTTCATTGTTTCTTACGATTGTATTTACCGTAATATAAGACCACTGTTAAAAAATTACAAGCCTCCTATTTATACGAGAGGCTACACCGTACTTAGTCGTATTTTAAATTTTAATCAAAATAATAATACTAACAATAAAATTTCGTACAGACAGTATAGTTATCTACACGTCACAAACAATTCAATAAAATAAAAGACAGGGATATTAAAAAAAAAAAGATATAAAACGGCGCAGGTTCGAGGTAATAGAATAAAATATGACGTCAATTCATTAATCATATTCGTTAGGTACTGGAGACATTTTATCGACCACTTTGTCTAGTTTGCAGCAGACACGGAGCAGCGCCGGTCACCCGCGTAGCACCGCCGTAGAACGTTCTACATACCTTTACGCGCCACTACAGCGCGTAGAGATACTGTGGCGCGTAGCTACGGCGGCGCAAGCGCATACACTCAACCGACGCTAACCGCTCGCTACACACTTGCACTCGGTTGCATTCATTCGTTATTTACTATTATTATTACTCATTACCTACATCAATTAAACATTAATATTATAAATCTAGGTATTAAATTTTAGGTAATAATAATAAACAATCTTTTAAATGCTATTATTATATAAATACGTTATAAATATAAATGTTTCCTGTTACAAAAAAAAATATTGAAAATGATACGAAATAAATCAATATTCTTTTTAAAGGTAATTTATTACTTATGAGTATGTAGTTAATTGAATAATGGAGTGTTAGACGGAGTGCGCTCGTCGCCGGGCGGCGCGCTCGCTTCGCGTTTTTTGTTCGTTCGTGCCGAATTCGTTCGCTGAGAAGGTCACGTGCGGCAGGCAACGCGCCGAGCGCCGAGCGCCGTGCCGCACACGCCACTGGAGACGCGACCGCGATTATGTTGTTAAAAACATTAGCTAGGAAATTGATAATGAAATCGAAAGGTGTGAAGTCAATAGGACGGTCGGAATATCGATATCATACCTAACAAATTAACGTAATTATTTGTTTTATATTTACGGTGTTATAGGTATTTAAGACATTTTTTCTTAGAATATTTAATTATTACGATGAGATGTTATAATTGTTAGGCCCGGGCCGGCGGCGGAGCGGCGCGCGCGCACCTCGCCGCCGTCGGCCGTCTCATTCACTCTCACATCCTCACTATAATTATATTTTCTTACCGACCTTTTTAATGTAGGAAAAGCGCACACGGCCGCTTGTCCCCGTGCGAGTACGAGTACAAACAAACAAACATAGTGAGAGACGTTCGTTTCGCCGCGTTCGTGAGAAGCCATCGGTTCGCCGCGATTGCATCGAGACGATACATAATGACAATTATTGTATATACATAGTTAACCGCATGTGTAAAAAGACGTTTAGGTAAGCGCCACACTGGCGTATCACGCGCGACCGATTTTGCCGTCCGTCTGACACCGTCAATTATCGTGACGTACAACCGATCCAGAGGCATTTATATGCTAACTTTTTAACGATCTAGTCTAGTCCTTATACTTCTAAAAGTACACAGAAAGACCTATAGTGGACTCTGTTAAGCAGAATCATCAAAGAAACAATTTGTGGTATTTTCAAAAAATTTCTAAACGACATGATATTTTTTTAATTTTAAGAAATTCTATAGAAAATACTCCAAATTAAATTAGTGAGTTACATCAAAATATAATCATGATCGCCAATAGAAGGCCTATAAAGTACAAACGTATTCAGTTCAAGAGATTGAACAAGTACAAACATGTTTGACTAGTTCGTTAAAAGGCGTCGTGTAATCGGTCATTGTTTGGCGCTACACTTAGTCGATACCATCTGATCGATATTAGATTCATTCGAGCTGCAATCAGGATTAGCTTGACGAATGATTAGTTTCATTGTTGTTGTTATGGTTTGTTGATACGAGTTTGTGAGGTTATTTCGTTAGTATATCACCCTTAGGGCACCTAACACGGGCTGTATTGTGAGGTTATCTCTCACGTCATATTCCACCTTGTTTTTTGTATATATGCATATGATGCGTTAACCTCAAAATAATAGCAATAAAATTCACATATAAGTACCTACTTAATAATTTAGAATTTTATTTTCATATAGTAGTATTTTCCCTTTATTATCCATGCATTTACTGCCAAATAATATGTCCCGTGTTTTAGTCGCCACACCATCACGAGGTGGTTCCCACGCGATTACCGCTTGGTTGCCGATGCAAGCGCGCGGTCGTTGTGGCAACCGCGTCGTTCCTCTCGCTTGATCGTATACACGTTAGTTGATTTACTACAGTCACCATTTTAGAAATGTGTTCTATATCAGAATAAAGACTACGTAATGATAAGCGAGATCTCAAATTTATTTTAAAAATTCGTTAATTGTGATCCTAATATTGCGACTTATATATAATAAAATTATAAAAGATAATTTATTATATTTTGTATAATGACATTCTACGTTATTTTACACTCGATCTACTTTATATTGTTATTAAAGATAATAATTAATTTTAATCTAATAACGTGACAGACTGGTAAAGTTCGTAGTGTCGCTGTGGCGGCCATAGATCAGTAGCTTTGCATATTCGGCGATGGCCAACTTAATGTTTCAAGGACCAAAGGTATACTTATTCGCGTAGAACCGGACGCGCATTGGCTCCGCACGAACCGACCCCAGCCGATCGGTTGTTTCATTGCAGCATCAGAGCGTGTCTATGAGTAGAGCTATGAGAATTTATCACGGCGGGCTGTGGCGGGCGCGCCTTCCTCGTGTGCTGCACGGAGCGGGGCGTGCCGGAGCGTCGGTCAGGCCAGCGGCCGACTCCGGCACCCAGGCTCCGTTCGCTGCGGACGGCGGAAGGCCGCGGCCGCTAGCGCTCGCGAACCCTGTCCCGCCCCCCGGCACCCTGTCCCGCCCCGCGCAACGCCGCCCGCTTGGTTTCGTTCTCGCGGTTACTTCTCGATTGCGTGCTTCGCGTGCTGACTGATTTTCTATAGCAATAAAAAATCAATTACCTAAGATTTTACATTAAAATAAATTTGGATTTATATACGTTCGAATTTGGTGTCATGTACATTTAAAATATTAGAGAAAGGAGATAACGATAGGCGAACGATCCGCGACGTGTCCCGTCGCGGTTTCGGCGCATTATTTTCGTCATTTCTTCGTGTATAATATGTTACATGAATCTGTATACAATATGGATATAAATCGTAATGATGAATAAATTAGTTTTTACGGCATCTCTTTATTAAAATAATGATAATATCAAAAAGTTTTGTAAAAAGCGGTGGGTATGTCCGCCGCCCCGATTCCGTGCACCAGTGCACTTTCTTATTGGAATATTACATTATATAACGTACATAATACTATGAGATATATAATCATACAGCCTCTCGGGGCGCGCGTGTATGGCGATGTATGTATACACATTGTGCAATGTACATATACCTATTATAATACAATGATTTAAGACAAGGTTCACATCGTGCCGTGTGTATGTGGTAATAAATATAATATGGACATTGTTCAAACAATAACCAGTTGTTTTATTTATTTATTCCTAAAAACCTTATCTCTTAAAAGTGAGTGATTAATCTGAGAAATTCTAATATCAATAATAATGAGAAGTATAAGAATTTTCAACTAGTAATTCTCTCAAAATACATAGTAATTAATTAGGTATATCATGCAGCCAGAAAATTCTAAGTAGGATAAGTAAGTATTTGTAAGTATGATTTGTCTTAATTAAAATATCTATATTAATACTACGTGCCTTTTCGATTAGCCAGGGAGAATTGAGTAACGAAAGCTGAAATATTTGTTGTATCTTTTAATAAATATATACTTATAAAATCGTTACTTCTAAATGATATCAATACATAACTAAAAATATACAAAGTCTAAAACTATATAACGTAGTTACGTTATTACGTTGAAAACTTCAACTTAAAGGTGAAATATGAGACCACGCATGCAAAGTATAGTAAAAACTAATTTGCTGTTTATGAACTGCATTTGTGCATAGCCAAATATAATAACATATTATCTCTAACTTAATCACTATTACATTACCATGAATCCAATGAATCGCAATGAAGATCCATTCTATAAAAAATTCATGACAGCCTTATTAATATAAAACTATGTAGCTAACATAATGCTGCATGCAACACAAAAAAGTAAACACAATCAGACTTGAAAACCCTCTAACATATCAACCAAATACGGAAGTAATTGGAGATTGAAGATGAAGAATATAAAAGCGTATACTTTCAGATAAAAAAAAAATATTTACCACTACGGTTTATAAGTGACGGAGTTATGAGATAACAAACATAAAAAAATACAACCGAATTGAGAACTTTCTCCTTTTTTCCAATCGTTTGAAAATGTAAACAAACGAATAATTAAACCGACCGTAAGACAATCTAATGACCAATAGTAATACATAGATAAAAAATCCATTACTTAATTGAGTGTTTCAATTTGTTACTTATTTCATTTAGAGAATTTCTGTGATAATTTTAACAAAGGCTACATTTAATTAATATCTATTGAAATTGAGCAACAACAGAATAAAAATGTATCATTACTCCTTTTCATCGCCAGGGTACAGTATGAGACAAACGAGTGTATTTCTTGCTTTTGCACTAATGTATCTTACCAGTGTAAGAGAGGAGAAAATGTAAATAAAAATAATTATCATACCACTTAGCTAACGTTGTATCCTCGTTTTATAGGAAAAGATCGATCCAGATAATGGGGCGTCAATGGATTATTAAGGCGAAATATTTATTAGAAACAATATCCAACCACAAATGTACTAGTTACCATTCCTGAACTCCTAATATCGATATCTCTATGTACTATGTTACGACAGGACATAGAGAAATCTGTACTATAGAATGAAAATTTAGCTTACGAACATGTGTTTCACTAGGCAATTCCATTCGTGCAGCCTGCTAGCTTTTATTTGAGGCCGTCCGTTAGAAACTCACCTTTGCCTTTAATACAGAACCTCCTTATACGTTACGTGACTCTATTTAGGGTGGAACCGGAGCAATTTACCTCTTTTCGGCCTAACTGGTCCAATCTGTTAAAGCATTATTATATTGTTGGCATGCGATTGGCACAAAACGTTTGATGGCAAGGAAAGATCGTGAATGAATTTTAATATAGTTTACAGACTTTTTATAAGTAGAAATGTATAAAATAATATATCAATAACATAAATAGGAGTTTCCCCAAAAAAGTTAAATAAAAACTAACGTAATCGATGTCAGACTACTTGAAACCGTTGTCGACTTAAATATAATATTAACATTGTTTTAAATATGACACTAATAGGTAAAATTACACGCCGAAATCAACTACGACAGGTGGCGTTCTTACCATCATCGTAGGACTAATTAAACACTGTACGGTAGATGTCGTGAGAGGCGACTAGAGGAACTTAATGGTAGAGAGATGGGCAGCAGTACCCCTCTTAAAACATCTCTAAAACTGCGGTTGCCAACCCGCCTGCTGAGCGTGGCAACTACTGGCAAAACTCCCCTTATGGAGAAGGCTTATGTTCAACAGTTAGCGGCTGAAATTAATAAAAAATACTGTAGTATAAATTGAGACAAGAAGTCATAATATATTTATTTAGGATATTATTATAAATATCAAATCTTAAAATTCGTTCAGTCATTTAGGCGTGATTAAAAAGACATGTTCAAAAACTCACATTTATCACCAGAAAATTGTTGTAAATTCAAATTGACTCACCATTTTCAGTGTCAATCATATTCGTAATCAATCGCAAAGGTTTTATTATATACTAGCAATCTAATCAGGTTTCACACGAATATATAAAACTTTCTAGAATAATATATATTGTATGTTACTCGTTGATGATATAACTTTCTTTTTTTTTCTTTTAACTGTTTCCAGCAAAAATCAGTGTTTAGGTATAAATTATGAATGTTTAGAAACTAATGAGTGGTGACCATTTTGGTCGCATAATTTCTAAATAGATATAAATTAATTTTTGTATTTTCTTTTGGTTTAAATCTTTAATTGTTTATGTTTCTGTTGTTACTATTATTGGTATGCGCCAAATATATATTTTTTTTCTGTCTGTCTTTAGATGAAAGAATTTTAAAATCGGTTGAGTAATTTTTGAGTTTATCCATTACAAACAAACAATCAAAATCTTTCCTCTTTATAAAATGTTATAATAACTACAATAATACTCGTAGTAATAAGTACAGATACAAAATTCTCAATATAATTATCTCTAAATAATTGCATTAAAATTAGAAGAAACAAAAATTATACAAAATTGATTATATTAAATAATAATTGGCTGCCTTATCTCTTTATTATAATATTATAACAAATTATAATATTATTATATATTAATATGTATTTTATATAATAATAAATCCATTTTAAATTATAAACTATTATTTTGATAATTCTAAAATAGCAGTAACAATGAAAATACACTAATTGAATATTAACAGCACCTACGAATATAGTACAATCTACTTTAAAAGATAAAAAATATTATTAAAAAGTTTACGGCTGAAACTAGACGTCGGTCGGTCGTAAATATCCTTTATTGTTACTCGTAGTTTTATATTGGAGGGAGCTGAGTAGCTGGAAGACACTGACGTATCTTGATCTATATAAATATATTATGATATACTTATACATGTGTTTGTATATTGTGAGTATTACCGTTCAGTTGACACAGAAAATAAAAATAGAAAATCTCTTATTATTATTCTTGTCGGTGTTATATATTCAAGAATATTGTAGTCTATAAGTAAATTCCAGTAGCGAGAATGTTTTCATATTTGCAATGCAAAAACACGTCCATATCAATTGTGACAAAATTGACATGAGACTAATATAAAAATATATTGTTGTTTGTAAAGATAACTAGCAAAATCGGTAGAGAAATTGTGAAAACATCGCGTAACATATATAAAAAAAATATTTTCTAGTTGAGAAATTCCTGTAATATTTTTTAATAACGCAGGAAGAAAACGAGCATGCAGCTCATCTGATAATAAGTGACTACCGCCACCCATGAGCACCCGCAACATCAGAGGAATTACAGATATGCTGTCGCGTTTTAAAAAGGAATATGCTCTTTTTTTGAAAGTCACGATGTCATATCAGTTCGGAAATACTGCTGCTGGAAGTTGATTCCAAAGCGTAGTTATGCGTGGAAGAAAGTACCTTGAAAATCGCACGGTGGAAGACCGCTACTAATCCAGATAGTTGGGATGGAACTTTTGTTCTGTGGTGGGTTGGTGAAAATCAGCCGTAGGTATCAATCTGGACAATTCCTCAGAACACTCCTCATGATCCATTCTATAACAGACGCATAAAGATGAATTACAACTCTGTACGTTCTCACTGTGAATGAGACTAAGTAGAGCTGCGTCACAATACAGTATTACATTACAGCTTATAACTAAGTCTAAGTAAGTACTATTATATTCTGCGGTTGTGGCGTAATGTACAGTTCAATTTAGATCTGTACGTATTTCCTCAAATGTAATTAAGCATTAATTTAGGCCTGTATTAATGGTAACAATTATGTACCTACGCCTAAATTGTCATATATATCAATTATAATATTAATTCCTTAGCTATTGCTAGTTATATTCAGCGTATTTGTCTGCGTGAATTTATATTAAAAATATCCTATTGTGTATTGTTTCATTATAATCTGTTCTGTCGTTTATATGTTATTAACAAATATCTTGACACGTCAAAATCTTTACAAAATTTTACACATAATATACTAATAATGTGTAAAAGTCTATAAAGAATTTTCTTTACTAAGATTCTGTGAGTTATAATTGCCTGAAATCAATGTAATCTAATGTATGAATGTGTATATAATATAAACGTCTTTAAAAATATATTAATTTTATGAATAATTATAATAAAGAATGTTGTCTGATAAACTAAAAAAAAAATCATCTTTTAGTGATTAGGTATTATTTAAATCTGTGTGTTCCGATCAGATTCGGTAGAACAGTAATCGTTGTCTGTACATACCATTAATTTCATTTTGGAACAATCATACTAATCAAGTCTGGCGTTTTTGTATCAATTACATTATGAACTCGTAGCTACTGTTTTATAATTTGATAGATAGATAGATATGTAATTTGTTAGAACAAACTAAAGCAGACGATATACGGAAAAAATGTGTTTCAATATCAGTAGTAATATAACAATAAGTATTTTATGTTTATCTATACTAATATTATAAAAAGGAAAGATTTCAATTGTTTTTTGTAAATAGATAACAATAGATACTCCTTATTGTTTCCTGCAAAAGATTAAAACAGTAACCTTAATACAGATACAAACAATTACAAAAAGTGAGAAAATAATGAGAGGTTAGTTTGTTTGTAATGGGTAAACTCAAAAGTACTAAATCGATTTTCAAAAATTTTCATTTACAGAGAACTACATTATTAACAATATATTTTCAATACATGTTTTAAAAAATCTCAAAGTCAAC